TTTTTTCTGGGGATTGTGCAACTTAAACACGAGCCGCTATTGGTATCAATTGAGGCAGTAGCTAGGAGAGGGGCCCCTGGGACTAAGAGCCCTTCTTCCTGAGAATGCAGAAATGAATTCTGCGCACTTAAATCTATTTGCATGCAAATGTTCATGATTTTATCTATGTTTGTTAGGTTGTTACATGAAATTACATGCAGTTACATGAAGAGAGTTCCTCAGAATATCCAATTTAACCTCTCAATCAAGTTTTACTTAATCCGGCAAAAGTTACTGATATTAGGGACTGTGTACGAGTACTTAAATTACTATATATTAATTAAAATTAACAGTTTATAATAAAAGCAAATGAAAAGTTAATAGTATTTATAATTTACACCTTTTCAATTATAAATGTAAAGTGTTTTCCAAAAGCAGGACGTATAACGCATTTTTGTCTTTACGTCACATGTTTGAAATTAAGGAGAATTTAATTACGTTCTAAATAAAAGTAAGTTTAAAAATAATTATAATGTGATGTAGTAATATGAAATTTCCAATTAAATTGACAGTGTGTATATTACTATGATCGAAATTGCGATTTTCTCAAAACACAGTTTATGGGTATTAACCCTTCTTGTAGCTACCGCCTCAATCAACGTTTAAGTAAAAAGTGTAGAAATTTCAATATTTATACAAGCGTAGTTAATCTTTCAAAATGTAAGAAAAATTAATGCTTTATGCCATTCGTGAGGGACTCGACACTACCTACCACTCTCAATCTTCGATGAGTTCTCGGCTGCTTTCATGTTTCCTCAGAGCCTCTCGGACGGCTATTTGTTGATGGATACAACTATCAACACTTCATTTTCAGAATTTAGTCGGAAGCCGCTAGAGCGCGACACAAAAAAACTTGAGTTTTTTTAAATTTTCATTATTTATTTTATTATAGAATCCTTTCAAAACGAAATAAACTCTTTAAAGATGACAACAACTAAAAAACTTGGTGTGTTCTATGTTTAAATATAAATTGTTATTCAAACATGTTTATGCTTTATTATGTCTCTTTATGAAATGCCATCGCGTTTTATACCCAATTCCTAGCTCTCTTATGAAATTTGCTACCGCTGCCTCCCGATGCAGGACTTTGCCAACCGCTCGCGGATCACGCAGGATGCGCCAAACCGTTCAGAAGGTTAATCGCGTGGCCCATCGCCTGACGGCTGGTCAAGTCTAAGATTCGAAAGAAGCAGGCGCCCCGTAGGAAGTGGTGGTGTGAATGTTTGTCGCGTAACTCTCCCCGACGGCCACCACGGGCCCCAGCGCCGCCGCTTTCGTCCGCGCGCCCCCGTCAACGTCTCGCCTTCGATCTCCGTCGCGTTTCTCTTCGACGACGCCTGCGCGTTTGACAGGCGGAGCTCTCTCTCCGCCTCGTCGCTCACAGCGCCGCCTCCGCGGGCCACTTTTCCTCCGATTCGGAAACGATCCACGCCCACGAAACCGGCGAAGGTGGTGTCACCGAAGTGCCTCTGGCTGGGAGGTCCTACGATCACGACGTCGGTCAAGATACTATATTGCGTTATCAGGCTATCCGGGACGAGCCGCGTCATTGACATGGAGGCTAACGTTTCGTTTATCGTATTGTGGCCTTCCTCAGAGCGTACTCCTGAGGCATGAGCCACCATGTCAGTGACGCGGCTCATCCCGGATAGTCTAGATAACACAAGCTTCGGCCGCGGACGCCTACGCAACCAAGATACTAGATTCGTAACTAGGTGGTGTTCACCCGCAGTCTGGAGGAGAATTCTAGCATCCGGCTGCTCGGATCGGTAGTTTTCCGTGGTTTCTCCTATCAATACCAGGCAAATGCCGGAGTAGTACCCTAACAAACGGGCCACGGACCGCGCGAGATCTTTCCTTTTTTTCTGGTTCTTTCCTCTCCCCTTACACACACTTAAACTCACATGCACTTCACTTGACGAGAGACCAATCGGGAGCTTAGAGCTTGTCCCGGCTGGGACGGTAAACAGCTAGCGGGAGGTACCTGAATGGGAGGGGGGGAATCCCCCGTAAACTGACGTAGGTTGGCGCGGGATCTCGCTAGCCAATGGTGGAACATTTCCGGCTCCTCCAGCAATAAAAGCACTACGTTTATGGGACTAATGACATTGGCAGTTGATGCGCCCGGAATCACTAATCAATCAGTCAGGATCACTCAGACCTCATTTTGAGGAAACAAACTGCTCAGAAATCACGTGAACTTAATTGTTCTGTTCCGGAGTCATCAGGAAAATAATGTTAACTGTGAAGATTTAAGAAGTGAAATATTACAAATACTTTGTTATTACAATTCACAATAATTGAACATTGCTCATTATTAACAAGTTTTCTCGATATGTGTTCAGTGTGGACTTTATTTTTGACACTTCCTGTCACCAGCACAGAAAGAACGTTTTCAAAATTAAAGTGGATTAAACTTTATTTACGAAGTACAATGACACAAAAGTGTTTAATTATTTTAATCAACTACAATGTGGTTGAAAATAAAGTTTCTAATGTCATTGATGAATTTGTAAATGCGAAGAAAATGCCGAAATGTAATTTTAAATTTCTTCATGGTATTGCAAAAATTATAATTTACGTTCTCTAATAATTTATTGTAATAAACAGTTTCTCTTAAAATAAACTTTATAATCACAAAATTAAATTAATTATGTCCTTAGTTAAGGAGCCCGCGTATTGTGTCTGTCTAAGGGCCTCCTCTGCTGAACTTACGGCACTTGATTACAGTTATGATTACAAAGGCCATGACTGTGCAGACATGCACATTACAACAGAAAGTGGGGTCTTCTCTAAAACGGTGTGTCTAATTTTTTAAATACACATATGTGAGCCAATGTGAAGTATTGTTACAGACTTTTTACGTAGAATATGCTTGAACGATCACAATGTGTCATCCGCTTGCAAGTTCATTTGCTCCTTGTGTGTTTTTACAATGCTTCTAAGACATTGCTTCAAGTACAGCCAAAATCCAGCGAACTCACCACTGGGTTAATTGAAACAAAAATGTTAAAACCAAAATTATTTTCATTCAACAAATGGTTCATTATGTTTTGAACAAGACAATAGTTGTTGGAAGATGGAAAATATTTAAAATTCTTGGGTTTACAAAACTGTCACTGTTTTATTCTCGGTTATCGTCGAATTTTGTTAGCTTTACACTAGTTGAATTAAAGCATAAAAATTTGCTTTGTTAAAGGTCAGTGTTTGAAATTCTCTGCATTTAAATTTGAGCGCAGTTCGAATTTGCCCCTTCTACGTGTGACACAAGGGCTTCAGCCTGGTCTGGTTCGGTAATATTGCGCTAGATGGGAGTTGATGCGGAGCAACAATTTGCTGATATCCACCAGAACTACTGTTTCATCTGCGCCTCCCCCCTCTACGTCGCATACGGCCTCCGCTCTTGCAAGAGCCCAACGGCGACAGGAGAAGGCGACGACGCTCCCAGAGAAAGGACGTCTGCGTCGCTTAGCTGCCCATCACATCGCGCCCACTCGCCTGCCCGCCCAGTTGCTCGTTCGCCCGCCCGCTGGCCCCCCGTTTGCTTATTGGCCCCCGTTCGCACCCGCTCGCTTGTTCCCCCGCGTGCCTGACCGCTCGCTTGTTCGCCCTCTTACCCGCCCGTTTGCCCACCCTTTCGCGCATTTGCCCCTTTCCTCACTGTTCGCTTAGTTCCCCGGCGGCCTAACCGTTCGCTTGTTAGCTCGCTTGACCGCTCATTTGAGTGTTGCCCGTCGCAACTTCTCGCTTATTCCTCCCTTATCCCACCCGTTTGTTTGTTCGCTCATCTGCTTAATCGTCTGGTTCGTCCTTCCCTCTTTTGCTGCCAAACGGTCTTCTGCGAGGTGGGCATTCATCAAGAAAGGATGGTCTGAAAATATTCAGATTTGAATTTCTCCTGATTTATCAAAACGATTGGTGTTTAAAATCAAAATCGGACTAACTGGTATCTGTGGCGATGACCTTGTGGTCTTGTCAGACCAGCAAGCACCATAACATTACCGTACAAGATATAGCAGTTGGTTTTTCGCCAATGGAATTGCACATGTGTTCTACAGTATCACACTGAACTTTATTTTACTACTTGGCTATCATAGATCAAAATGGACTCAAATAATTTAATGTATGAATTTTTCCTGTTTTTTGTATGCAGTGATATTTGTATACCTTAAAAAACGATTCTTCAACTGAAATACGTTAAGAGATTGTTATTAATCATGAATAATAGGCCTAACAGTGGTAGTACCACTTCCAGAACGTAAGATAAATGTTTGCAAATTGAATCTAAAAATGTAGAAAAAGAAATGAATCTTGATGATTCGTACATGATACACAGAGGGAAGGTTAGGAGAAGAAAAATATAGGCAAAAACTGTTTGTGAGTCCGAAAGTGATTCTAAGACCTTTCTCACGAAGTAAAGGGGGAAAATCATGTAGTTTTGAAATATAAAGTATTATATTACGCAGATGGCTATGTTGCAGGCTGTGTAACTATGCAGAATACAGGAAGAGTGTAAGAACAGTTCTATAAATCAAAGAAAAGGAAGCGACAAATGTCATTTCCATCACAAAGAAGCACGTGCAAACACGCAAGAACGTTTTTCAGTCAAATCATGCATTAAGTTTTTCTGAAAGGCCATCTAGGATCCTAGAGCCTAAGAATACAAAGGGAACATGAATTTCAAACCGTCTAGTCTTTATTACAATATCAATATAGAAACCAACAAACTATTAACAGTGACCTATAAATAGGTTCCCTAAAGTTAACTCGAATTAACTTATTTATTTGTTAATTATGAATATTGTGTAAAACAAAAATTCATTCTTGTAATTGAAATTTCTTTTCCTTTATTGTACCCACAAAGTCATTCATTGTTAGGTCCTCAAAACAAATGAGAAATAAAAGTTACAGAGAAATAAAGTTAATTTTTATGTTATTATCCAATACTTTTTGTGTTTCAGTTGGACCAGAGAGATCAAATGGAAAGATGGAAATTGGCCTAGCAATACGAAAGAGTGACTGATTTCATGATGAACTCCCGACTCAGGCAAGTCACTAATCCAGAAAATGCAACTCTGTATAATGGTTTCCTCTATAAAACTAGAGAAGATAAACCATTTAAATATTTTAAGTTGTATAGTTTATCAACCGAGATAATTGTTTTTTAAACTATTAATACAAGTTTTGTTTCCAATTAAAGACACTCAATAACTTCAGAGATAGTATTACGAATTTATGTCATTAGCATAAGGTTTAAAACAACACAACGATTTGTAGCCTGTTGCGATCAATTTATTAGGTGAGACTTAAATTACAATATTCGAAAATTAAAAAGTCACTAGATACATGAATAGTTTAAGAACATTCGTTTAAAAATTATTAAGTCCTTATAGTAAGAAGAGGTTTTGTGAATACAATGGAGTTGTGAAAATTATTTCATACAAATATGAAGCGTAACTCAACATTCGTCCCTCCGATGTTGGTTGGACATGAGGCGTCAGACAAATGTGAACACATTTCGTGTTGAAGTTCCTGTTGGCATAAGCTGTAACTACGCTTTCCTTCTCATTATTTAATCACATAGTGCATATGGCTGAAACTAGTTGTGCTGTTCATTTCCTCACGAAGAAAACATTGATCTTCCTTTCTCTTTTTCCTTCTCTTAATTATTTTCTTCATCATCTTCCTCTCTCCCTCCTCCTCCCCCTCCTCGTCCTTCTTCTTCTTCATCTCCTTCTCCTAACCCTCAATCTTCTATTCCTATTTCTCTTCCCTTAGCCTTTCTCCCAAGCCTAATCATCTACCTTCCCCCCCCCTTGCAGAGGAAATCTTTCAGGGCCGGAGTCCGTAAAGCTGACTTCAGTCTTTCGTCGGGGCTCCAGTCAGTTCAGCTGTCTGGAATACGACGCGTTGTAGGAAATGTTCCCAATGTTGTGTCCGTCACCCTCAGCGCATTTTGGTGGAATTCGGCCCGCAGTGTGACGGCCAAGAGTTGGCTACATTACCTAGGAAGCTTCTACCGTACGACCAAAAGTCTATTCGCCACCACTTAAAAAATCTATCCTGTGATTACACCCTGCTTCTGAGGAATTTACTAGCGTTTTATTTAATACGGGCAAACATGTGAAATAACCATGGACGACATGAGCTGTAGCTACGCCTGCCAATATCGCTCAATAACGTTTCCGAGGTTTTGTGTGTGGGCACACGCGGGAGCCGAGTGGTGGCATCCTGTCGGTTGGGGAAAGCGTTGCCTTCTGGGCCTCCTTCCTCCTTCGTCGCCTGCTCCTCCTCCTCCTCCTCCTCCTCGGGCATCAAAGCCCCGCAGCTCGCGGCCTTCCGCTGCTGCCTTCGGCGACACGAGACTCCTGCTCTTCCGCCTCGCCTCATTACAATACGCCACTCACCCGCGCGCTTTGCGCTTTCTCGCGGAGGGGCGAGGAGCGTTGGAGAACTCGCGTTTTTCAATCGACTGCGTAAACTGATCGAAGGGTTACAAGCCAAAATGGCAAAGGTTTTGCTTCTGGACGACTATTAATGGCAGGTTTTTGCCATTGAACGACTGATGAGTGAAATTTTTGTTCGTTTAGACATCTTGTTATTGTGAATTTTTATTTGTGGGCATTACTTTTAGGTATTTTAAATAGAATGTAGTTATTATACGCAAGGGTTGGCATCTTTGCGAAGACGTTGCATCACACGTTCGAATCTTCCCTGACAATGGAAGTTTGTTTATTGTCCATTCGCGCATGTTGACTTCAGAAGGACAGTGTATTCTGTCCTGCGATTGGAAATGCTCACAAGAATGTGAATAGTGTGGGTCGTTCTCTTAAAACATTCATTCAAAGAGATCCTGCCATAAAATCTCTAATGATGACAGCAATGACAATACTAACATTATCCACGAAAACATGAAATGGACCTTAAGATCAGATAAAATAATTTTTATGTTATGTAAGGTCGACAAAATTATGAAATAAGCTAGATGTAGGTAAGAATATTGCGATGTACTCAAACATAGATAATGAATGTGCAACCGTCAATTTGACCTAAATATGAATTTTAGGTATCTCTCTTTTAGAAATTTGTCTGAATTGATTCATTTGTCTTCCAGTCAGTGGGGACACGTGTCGTACCATTTGCTTGTACCCTCGAGATCCAGTAAAAGTCATTAAATTCGTTCTAAAGATTGAATTACATTATATTCCTCAAAATAGAAAGAGTTCAAGTACATCTGAATTAGAAATGTTCGAAAAATATATTCAAATCTTAAAATATTAAAACGTCAGAATATGTCGTCGACATTGTTCACATTGATCTCATTTAAAAGTGTCATTACTAATTAATGAGATTAATTATTCTACATTTTTCTTCTGTAGAAAATGTTTACTTTCATTATTTTCTTATATAATTTGTCAGAGGGTTTTCGTAACTTACAGTGCAGATTCTTGTATGTATACTATTTTCCCACTTGGTTGAGCACCTTCATTTTCCCCTTCAATGAGATTTACAACATTAAAACATCGATTCATTTCATGAACAGAGCCAGTTAAGTTGAAATTAAGATTTGAAAAACAATTGCATTTCAGAAATGCAGTGTAAACCCTCAATAACTAAATTTATAACGAACATTTTCCGTAACGTATGCATTACTCGATTTTCATTAGTTTACCCTAATTGATGCATTCTCTCCAACGAAGAAACAACAAACAAAAACAACAAAAAATGTCAACAAGGAAAAAGTACTAAGTTCCATCAAGTTATTTTTACCGGGGAAAATACAGTCTTAAGTACAGGGCTCTAATAATTTGTTCAATTCATTTTCAGTTTATTGTATTAACAATGTCATTGTAAAGACTACTCTGAGATTGTCGCTTGAATGCGTTTTCTTCTCTCTTCTGTGATCTCTGTGTTTTCTATTATCTCTTGAATGCTCTTTCAAAATAATATAAAACGTAGAATTCTATATTATCTTAGAGTGATTTCAGTAGTTTTGTACATCTTACCGAATACCAATTTTATTATAATAATTCAAGTCTGGAATTTCAAAATTTATTTAAATTTCACCATAAAATAGGTAGTAGACGCCCAAGATAACGTTCCTAAATGTGGAGTAAACAATTTTAATCAAGATCATTCATTCCGAAACAATCGTTGTAAATAATGAACTCTTATTTTAAAGCTTAAAGCTGAATAATTTAAAAAGGTAAAATAAAATGCCCTTTGAAGTATAGTTTATGTTTTAAACATTGTTATAACTCGAAATGAGATTGATTTACTATCCTCAATAACAATGAATGGCAATGATTCGTTCTGAATGTAAAGTATTAAAACAGTCAAAACCTCTTTTCAATGTGCGTGGACACGTTTTTCGATCCCACGCTTATGTGTTTAGCATCAATTACATCATCAGCGGTTAACTGTATGTGTTTTGCGATGTGCTGAGCCGCACAACACGCGTATAATAGGCCCATTTGGGAGTGTAATATATGGCCCTCATCCTTCTTCATATATTCGAAGTGACGAAAGCGTTAAAAGAAATCCTGGGACGAGGGTCCTGTTGTGTCGTTGGCCCCAATTCACGCCTCTGTTAGCGCTCGTGGACGCCCCCTACTGGTTTAGGCCCTTTTATACGACGTTTGAAACTGGTTTCACTGCTTCCCTCACAGCTTTGTCATAAAGGGTTCGTTACACGCTCGCGGATGTAGACGCCAGACTTCTCTAGGGGTCAATGGCGGAAACTTCCGCACTGAGTTCTTCCTGTGGCCGGTAGATAGCTCTCTTTATTACTACACCGAATTAAGCATCTACTGACTTTTTTATTATCGATGTTTCGCCCTTTTGCAGTTAATTACTAGTATTTACATTAAAATCCTTCCATTTTAAGGGGTAATAGATCAAGAAATGCACTAATTGAAAATGCTACAAGGAGCGGAATACGTCGGACAGCGTGGCGGTTGTTATTCTGGGGAAAACTTTCTTCGGTGCAGCTGACATTACGTTTCATGGGTCGTGAATACTTCTTTTATTCGTAATAACAGATATTCAGAAGAGATGAGCCTTTAATATCGTAACAGCCTTAGACTTTCTCTGTTCGATGCTTTCTAGTTTCCCACTGAAGTATGTGCTGGAAAGAAAGTAAATTAGCGTCCTCGAAAGAAATAATGCCTTCTTAGAAGAAGTAGGTGTTACTAAGTGGGAGAATTTAATGGCAGTGTTTAAATTATAGAATTGCAATAACGACGAAAATTAATATCAGAATGGTCATGCTTGATGGCTTGATGGCATCTGAAACTCGTAATAATAAATTCAGAGAATTTCTGTACGTTTCAATATTTAGAATGTGCAGATTGAGATGCTGAGATTGTTTTTTTTTTAATTATTTTCTTACTAACCTGTTCTCAGATACAGAGAGAACTTGAGTCAACAATCCGTGTTTACTGGCTGATGATTTTATTTGCTTAATTTTATTGGAATAAACTATACCTCATGAAAATTAATGATAATCCAGAAAAGCGATGAAGACTTATGAAGTGTGAAGTTTATAAGATCCCGGGGATGGTTGACACCAGTTAATAGTTGTTTTTTTTTGCGTAACTCCGGTTAGTTTTCAGAAGATTTATTCAATCAATGGAAACTGCATTTATTATACTACCGTATGGTATTTTTTATTCCTGAACTTTTGACTGTCGAACTGTTGGAGTCTTTAGAGAACATCAAGTAAAGTGCCAATCAACCCCATTTGTGAGGTTCGATTGTAGACTGTCTGGTAAGTTGGCACACTAAAGAAAGTTTAGTATTTGGTGCCAGTAAATTGTGTTCATTTGTTTATCTCTGTAGGGGTAAATGTATCACAATTGTCTATGATATGAAATATTGAAACGATATAATATTAAGAACAGGTTCTGTAAAAGAAGTTAGTAATAAAAAAGCATTATAATATAACCATAAACCAGTTTATCATAATGAAGCGTTTAGAGAGGTTAGGCGAACCATGTAATCATACTATTATCAA